CCTCCTTACCTTCTGCATGAGCCTACCATGGGGAACCTTATCAAACGCCTTCAAATCCATGTATACCACATCCACTGCTCCACCTTTATCCACGTGTTTGGTCACCTCTTCAAAGAATTCAGTAGGGTTTGTGAGGCATGATCTACCCCTCACAAATCCATGCTGACTATCACAAATCAAACTGTGCCTTTCCAAGTGATCATAAATCCTATCTCTCAGAGTATTATTAAATTGGAGTGGGTGCAGAAAAGAATTACCAGAATATTGCCAAAACTGGAGGGTTTGAGTTATGAGGATAGGCTGGGACTTTTTCACTGGGGCATAGGGGGTTAAAAGATGATCTTACAGAGGTTTATAAAATCATGAGGGCCATAGATAAAGTGAATAGCAAAGGGCTTTTCCCCAAGGTGGGTGAGTTCAAAACTAGGGGGTATATTTTTAAGGTGAGAGAGAAAAGATTTAAAAGCAACCTGATGGACAACCTTTTCGTACAGAGGGTGGTACATATGCAGGTACAGTTTAAAAGTTATTTGGATAAGTACGTGAATAGGGAAGGTTTAGAGACATATGGGCCAAATGCAGGCAAGCAGGACAAGTTTAGTTTGGAAAACTTGGTCGGCATAGATGAGTTGGACCGAAGGATCGGTTTCTGTGTTGTATTACTGTATGACAGATAGTGAAATTTAAATTAAGTAAAATCTGAATTTTGAAAGTCTAGTCCAATGGTGGCTATTGATGGCAGTGTTTTTGATGGTCATAAAAACACATCTAGTTCACTAATGTCCTTTAGTGAGAGAAATCTGTCGTCCTTATCTAGTTTGGCCTATATAAGCCTCCAGATGTACAGAAACATGGAAAATAGGAGCAGGAGTACTCCATTTGGCCCTTCAAGCTTGCTCCACCATTCAGTAAGATTATTGCTGATTATCAAACTCAGTACCCCGTTTCTGATTTTGCCCCATACCTTTCACCCTTCTAGCCCTAAAAACTATATCTAACTCCTTGAAGGCATTCAGTGTTTCAGCCTCAACTGCTTTGTGTGGCAGAGAATTCCACAGGCTCACTGCTCTCTAAGTGAAGAAATTTCTCCTCATCTTGGTCCTAAATGGCCTACTCTATATCCCTAAACTGTGACTCCTGGTTTTGGACTCTATAGTCATCAGGAACATCCATCCTGCATTTACCTTATTTCTCACCTCTTTCCTGAAACGTGGATGGCACTGCTCTCTCAAATGTCCTGGCAAACAATCACTTCAAGGGCAGTTAGGAATGCACAATAAATGCTGGCCTGACTGACGAGGCTGACATCTTGTGAATGAATTAAAAAAAACAAATCTGTTCCCTGGGTCTTGATACTAGAACAAGGCCTGCTTATGGACTGGGCATTGCCTGATTGATGTCTCGTTGATCAGGCCTTCCTAAGAAGAGGCTATTCAGTCTTCATGCTAGTTTTCCAGGCCAGACCCTCAGCGCCACAACAAGATTCTGCCCCGTGTGAGTAAACTCAAAATTGACTAGTTTTGGGGATAATCCATGAACTTTGGCCATATGTAAACATCACATCATATCATTCTAGTTACTTTTATCCAGGCTTGAGGAAGCAGAAGTGGCCCAATCATTATTAAATAAAAAGCAGTGTAGCACAGATAAACAACAGCACCAGTTAAAAATAGAACTTAATTAAACATGAGCCTTCAGTATGTATTGCAGTATAAGGTCAAAAAGAAAGGAAAAGTAGCTTCCAGTTTAACTCCAGTCGTTTCAGTACTGTTAGGTGTTAAAATCCAGAAATCTTCTTCTGTTGACCAAATTCAAAGACCTAGTGGAACATACTGTATGTAGAATAGCTAATGAGTGGGTGTTAAATGTTATTCTTCTTGCCCACAATCTGTTAAAGCGTGAAAGAGTGTATATTTTGAACTTCTATGAAATGATGCCCCTTTAAACTGTCCAACCACCAGATCAGTCTGGCCCACTTTCCCACAAAATAGTTACAAACTAATTAATTGTAGATGACACATCTTGGGTTGTCCTAAGAGCTACAAGTAATTGGATAAATGCAAGTTGCTTCATTCATAATGAAACCTTGATGGTATACAGTTTGGAGCATATGTCGCTTTTAAGAAGAAAGTGAGAGTGGTTAAACAACTAATAGGTGGAAGAGTCTCCAAAACCATCCTTATCCTCAATGATGGGGGAGGCTGCCCATTTAATGCAAGAGGCAAGACTGAAACATTTGGAACAATCCGCAGCCAGAAGTGCTGAGTGGATGATCCATCTCGACCTCCTTCTGAGCTCCCCACCGCCAAAGATGCTGAGCTTCAGACAATTTGATTCACTTAAAGTGATAGCAGGAGACTGCTGTAGACACTACATGCTGCAAAGCCTATGGATGCTGACAAAATGCCAGGAGTAACACTGAAAATGCATACTGAAGAACCAGCAGTGCCCTTAGCCATTCTGTTCCATTACATCTACAACACAGGCATCTACTCTCAATATGGAAAATTGCCCAGTTATGTGCTGTCCACAAAAAGTGAAGAAATCTAATCCAGTCGATCATCATTCCATCAGTTTTCTCTCAATCATCAACAAAGTGATGAAAGATGGTGTTGACATTGCTATCAAGTGGCATTTGCTTAGCAATGACCTGTTCACTGACACCCAGTTTGGATCCTATCATGGAACTTAGCTCCTGACCTCATTACAGCCTTGATACAAACATGGAGAAATTTTTGAGCTCCAAGAGGTGAGGCAAAGTGATATCTAGGCAATATTTGACAGAGTATAGTACAATGGAACCATAGTAAAGCTTGAGTCATTGGGAATCAATGGGAAGACTCTCCACTGGTTCAAGACATATCTAGCATAAAGGAAGGTGGTGGTGGTTATTTAAGACCAATCATCTGAGCTCCAAGGATTGCATCAGTATCTGAGGAGTTGTCCTGGAGCTGAGATGACTGACCCCCAATGACCACAACTATCTTCCTTTGTGCAAGGTATGGCTCTGCCGAATTCCCAATGATGTCACACTTAGTCAAGTGCTGCCTTGATGTCAAGACTATCACTTTCCGTTGAGTTCAGTTCATTTGTCCATGTTTGAACCAAAGCTGTATTGAGGTCAGGAGCTGAGAGTCCCAGTTGAAACCAATCTAAGTGTCAGTGAGCAGGTAATTGCTGAGCAAATGCCACTTGACAGAACTGTTGACAATCCCTTTCATTACTTTATTACTGATGGAGAGTTGACTGATGGGGCACTAATCAGCAGGGTTGGAATTGTTCTTCTTTTGGTACAATCTTCGTTACAATTGCTGGAATGTTTTCTGGGCCCAATGTCTTCAACTGTTTCTTGATGTCATGTGAACCGAATCGAATTGGCTGAAGAGTGGCGTCTGTGTTGCTGGGGAACTTCAGGAGGAAGCCAAGATAAGTGATCGACTCGGCACATCTGGCTGAAGGTTGTTGCAATTGCTTCAGCCTTCTCTTTTGCTCTAATGTGCTGAGTTCTCTCATCATTGAGGATGGGCTATTTGTGGAACCTGTTCCTCCTATTGGTAGTTTAATTGTCCACCATCTTTTGAAAAGGGTGTGGCAGGACTGTGGATCTTAGAACTGATTCACTGTTTGTGGGATTGTTTGGCTCTGTTGCATGATACTTTCGTTGTTTGATACGGAAAGAGTCCTGTTTGCTAGCTTCACCAGGCTGACACCTCATTTTTAGGTGTGCCTGGCACCGCTCCTGGCATGCCCTGTCTGCACTCTTTGTTGAATCAGGGTAGATCCCCTGATTTGATGCTAATCACAGAGTTGGGAAATTTCAGGCCATGACACTACAAATTGGCTGATTACAATCCTGCTGCTGTTGATGACTCACATCATGGACGCCCAGTTTTGAGGTGCTAGACCTGTACAAAATCTATCCCATTTAGCGCAGTGATGATGCCAGAAAACTCATTTGAGAGTATGCTCAGTGTGAAGGCAGGACTACAGTTTTCTGACTGTATAGCACTGTTCTGCCATCTCTGGTGGTTTGTCCTGCTGACTAGATAGGACATAACCAGGAGTGTGATGGTGGTATCAGAGACATTTTCTGTAAGGTATTATTCCATTAGTATTATGTCAAGCTGTTGCATGACTAGTTTGTGGTTCAGCTCTCCCAAGTTTGGCACAAGTCCCCAGATATTAATAAGGAGGATTTTGCATGTTTGTTAAGTTTGAGTCTGACATTGTCATTTCCAGTGCTTAGGTTGATGCTGTATAGTCTGTTTAGTTTAATTCCTTTCTCAGTTTGATAGAGCTATGTGGCTCACTAGGCCATTACAGAGTATTAAATTGCTATGGGTGTGGAGTCAAATATAAGCCAGACCAGGTACGGACAGAGATGTCCTTCACTGAAAGGACGTTATGAACCAGATGGGTTTTTACAATTCCATTTTTCTTTTAAATTAATGCCAATAATTCCAGATAATTTCAAATAGTCTCCGTCATTTGGCTGTTGTGGTACTTAATTTCACATACTAAGTAACGTTCTATCTGAAACTATTTCAGTGATAGTCCTAAAATGATATCCCATTATGGACTTGCAACCATGTGTGAACAACTTCTCATGACCTATCAAATCAAAGTTACTAATTTTGGAGACCTCAGTTAGAGCCCTCATCATCCCTGTTCCAATGAATTAGAACCCTTTCTTCAAACCTATCTCCATAAAATCACTTAAGTAAGTATTTGCAATATCTTTTCTACATCTGCATTATCCTTTCCACAATGGAGTTCCCAGACATCCACACAGCACTGCAATTGTGGCTTAATCTTGTACAAATCAATATCATTACATTGTGTTTCTATTTTGTGTATCCCATGTGGAAAAACTAGAATCCTATTGACATTTTCTTTTAATAGTATTTTCTATCTGTAACTAGATCTTTTTGAATTCATAATATAGTTTAGATTAATCAGTACAAATTCTCTGTTTGATTTCTGTGTAAATGTTTGCATAGGATTTTAGCCAATACGAAAGGTATGAGCAGGCTAAATTTAAATGTTGTTACATTTTCTCATAGATACCAGGCTATGTACAGCTACAACCCGAGAAATGAAGATGAGCTGGAGCTAAAGGAAGGAGACATTGTTGATGTAATGGAGAAGTGTGATGATGGCTGGTTTGTTGGTATGTGTGTTCTAAAGTATCTCTGCTATCAGAGTAGGGATGAGCTAGGAGATCTTGTTCATTTCTGAATCCAAAACCCATGGAAGGGAACTAGTATTAATTGGGATTTAAAAAAAAGGCGCAGGTAAACATTTCCAGGCGCAGGAGAAAAAGTAACTGCTGAAGTCAGGTAAAAAAAAAACCTAGAAACAGCAGCTCACAATAATTTGGCAAATTCCAAGTTATCAAAACAGGCAAATAGTTTAAGATTAAAAATCAAGAAACAGTTGGCAAACTCTAATTAAAGGACATGTAGTAAATTAATCAATCTTGACTACGCCTCCAAAGAAAAAGCAGGAGCACATGATTAACAGGCACAGGGGCCAGAGGTGTGGGTTACTGGTCTGTAGCTATTACCCATATTCCTTTTCAGTGTGGTTCCCCGATGGAATATTGTGGAGTCACCCCATCAGGACACTTTTTTACTTTTAAGAGTAAACTTCCAAATGTCTTATAAGCAGGTTATCTGTGGAGACTGGGGAAAGTGTGGGGAAGCCAAATAAGCATCTGCTGGAGCGTTATTCTCTTTTAATTACAACCATGATAAAAACCTGTGAAATTTGCTGTGAACTTTAGTGTAGCATTGTGACTTCCCACATAAACCTGCATTAGTGCAACCAACACAGATTTTAACAATGTGGCTTTCAGTCACTGCTCATCCCTATTCTTCTGTAAGCTAATGTATAGGTTTACTTCTAGAAATGTAATGCATTATTTTCAAGGGGGAAATGGTCTCATTTTTTTCTTATAATTCCTTTTATTATCACTTATTTACTTTATAATTTGCATGCAGGTAGCAAGAGCAAGTTTGACTACTGATTTTCTACACATTTGATCCCTTTTGTCCAAAAGGAATTTTTCCACCAGGCTACTGGGAATCAAAATATAGACAGTAATTGGAACTGTCAACAATGAGTAGACATTTAATGTCCATCACCTGAGCTATTCATGCTCATGTAGGCATATTGCCAGATGATCAAAAACTCCAGTTTCCTTCCCTTGATTGCTAATACCATCCCTTCCTCCTCAGTGGGATGGGTATGCTCCTGTTATTATATATAAATGTTGCAAGGCCGTAAGATGACTTTTATCATTATGCAGAGGACTGGAATCCAAGCTGCAATCATTTTTGCAGAGTTATAGGGAGTAGATGTACAGATGGCATGTTTGTATAACCTCTATCAGCTTGGTTATAAAGGGAATAAAACCATCAGGCAGTGCATAAAAATTACTATTGAAATTAAGTCCTATTGTTTCCCCTACCCAAAACTGGTGACTATACAAATGGCGTTTTAAGGTGGAGATGACTACAGACTATATAACTTGCCATGTATTAATTTGTGATTTACTGGGACATATAATAGATGAATCCTTAATGGTGACTTGTGGAACGTGGAACATAGAACAGTACAGCACAGTACAGACCCTTCAGCCCACGATGTTGTGCCGACCTATTATCCTACTAAGATCAATCTACCCTGCATCCCCCACATTTTACTATCCTCCATGTGCCTATCCAAGAGTAGCTTAAAAGTCTCTAAAGTATCTGACTCCACTACCACTGCTGGCAGCGCATTCCACACACCCACCACTCTCTGTGTAAAGAACCTACCTCTGACATCTCTCCTATACCTTCCACCAATCACCTTAAATTTATGCCCCCTCGTAACAGTCACTTCCGCCATGGATAAAAGTCTCTGACTATACACTCTATCTATGCCTCTCATCATCTTGTAAACCTCTATCAAGTCACCTCTCATCCTTCTTCGCTTAAATGAAAAAAGCCCGAGCTCCCTCAACCTTTCCTTATAAAATTTCAGCACTAATTTTTAATGATACCTTTGAGGTTGTCTAATAGGTCGTGTACCCACAGAATAAGCAAAAATTCAAGGATTTTCTTGGTTCGCTTTGTTTTGAAGTCTTTTGGATCTGCAACATTTTTGTTTAAGTTTGTAATAGCTAGTAAGTTCTAAATCACTTTATCTTGTAGACTTGTGTGCACTGCAATTTTGATTGAATTGGCCAAAGTTTGCTGGTTGAGTCTTAACTCTCCTTTTAGAGAAATGAAACAATCATATAATGAACAAAAACAAAGTTCCTGGAAAAGCTCAGCAGGTCTGGCAGCATCTGTGAAGGAAAAAACAGAGTTAACGTTTTGGGTCCGGTGACCCTTCCTCAGAACTGAGGACCCGAAACGTTAACTCCGTTTTTTCCTTCACAGATGCTGCCAGACCTGCTGAGCTTTTCGAGCAACTTTGTCTTTGTTCCTGATTTACAGCATCCGCAGTTCTTTCGGTTAAAACAATCATATAATTTATCAGATTCTAATAGAGAGGGGAAAGTGCAATCTTACACACTGTACCAGCCAGGAAAATTATACATTATAAACTATAAGTTGCTCCTAATAGGGGTGATAAACTGACCTGTAGATATTTTAAACTATTCTCCTAAGCACAAATTGAGCCATCTTCCTTGAACTGACATGGGGCTGAGACACCAATGCAGAGCTAGTTCAGTCAATTTAATCCACAGTCCTGATGAGCCCCTTTATGTTTTATGATACATGCAAACAAAGCAAAATTAAACACTGCTTATTAATATGTGAAATGGAGTTCAGAAGGCAATGACAACAACTGCATTTGCCCCAAGTTTGAGAGCGAATATTATTATCAAATAATTTGCCAAACATCAAGACACTTTCCTAGGAACAATCACATTGCTACCAGCTTCAGAAGAAAGGACAAAATTCCCAGACTTACTGCTACTTCACAAAACTGTTGGGAAAAGAATCTACAGCCTGGAGAGAAAATAAAAGAGGCTGCTATTCAAGAGAATGTGACATTGGAATATATCTCCAAGGACGAGTCCAGATTGACAGAAGGAGCTGACTGCGGAATAAAACTTCAGCTGTACCTGAAATCAAAACATCATCTATCCTGGAGTCCCATGTATCTGGTAAGTTTACCTTACAGTCTCTCCTTCCATGCAATCTCCCTGTAAAGTAAAAATAATGAACAAACGTACATTTAACATAATGCAGAATGCCAAGAAAGCTTTAACATCCCCAATATGCATGTAAGTGGTCCTGTGTACAGTGGTCCATTTTTGCACTTCACCTGCTTTTATAAGTTTCTTCCAAATGGCATCTGCACTTGTCTGTCTGCTGTTCCACTCCATATGTGCGGATAACTAAGGTTTTCTATCTTGTCCCTATTTTGTCTTCTCAGGTAGTCAGCCGATGTTCACCTTAAATCCTTCCAATGGAAATGGCATGGAAAAGACACAAAGTACCCAGAAATTCACTGAGAAAAAGTTGCTATCCTCAGCGACTCTGGAAACTAATGTACATAGAGAGGGGAATGCACAGTCTGTTGTGGACAAATGTGAAAACCAATCACATGTCAGCATATCTCCTGAAGGAATGTCCTGGGCGTACCCAGAATGTTTGGGTGGAACTGAACTGAAAGATGAGGCAACGAGTCAGAGAGAAGAGGAGGAAAGCAGCCAAGACTCTGGCTCAGCGTCCGAACCTTCAGCTGCATCTCCCTCAGCATCCCAGGATCTTAATGTAGTCCAGAGTTTCCCTTCAATTCTGTCAGAATTACAGAGCCCTAGCAGGCCTTCCTTAGAATCTGAGCATCTTGATGTGTGTCCCTCACCAACACAAAGCCCGGTAAAAGAAGCAGATCAGCCGGAGCAGGTTACCGACTGCAAGTCACCAGACAGGACAGATTGTGAGCTGCAAGTGGAAATCGACAACTTCCTCAACCCGTCGGCTGATTTCCTGGAACAGATTATGGACAATGTTCCTACTTGTGTGAAGGCTACCATGACAAATGAGAATACCCATCAACAATACGAGGCAGACGCCCATCTCCTAGCACTCTCCACGACATTTGGAATGCTTGTAGATGAGGGTATGCATTTGCTCAGGAAGACCATGGACAATGTCCATTCCAGTTTGCAGTCCGGCAACAAGCAGATGCACACGGACATGATTCACCTTCACCATATTATCCACATGGGCTGGGTGCAGTTAGCCGATCAAATGAGCTCTCTGATCAAAGTGCTTACCACACTCATACATAACCAGCAGTCCTCTTCCACCTTGTTGCATAATGTAGCACTTCAGCGTACCATAGCAATATCTGAAGGCCATTTTCCAGACTACCTCAGGTGTGAAACCACTTCAAAGATAGCTAAAGGAACAGTGCCCACAACACGTTACATCCGAGAGGAATCCTTAACCAATGCTTCTTCTGAAAACCCAGCTGCCAATTCTTCTAATTCTGAAATGTATAAATGAAATGGAATATGTTAGCATTTTCCTGAAATACACATTCTGCGCAATGATGTGGTGCCGATATTGTTTTTGAATAGTTCTTTTACTTAGAAGGTTTAAAGATAAAAAGAGACTTCATTTATGTAGCACTTTCCATGGCCACCAATGTCTCAAAACACTTTAGAAATACTTTGTGAAGTGATAGTCACTCTGTAATGTAGGAAATATGGCAGCCAAGTTGCATTCAGCAAACTCCTACGAACAGCAAATTAATAATAAGCAGTTGATCCTTTTTTGTGATACTGATTGAAGTATATATATTGCTCAGGTTTCCAGTCATAAGTCTCCTTTTCTCTTTCAAAAAGATAGCCATGGGAATTTTTACATCCAGCCAAGCATACAGGTGGTACCTCAGTTTAACATCTCATTTAGAAGATAGCATCTCAGACGGTGCAGTGCTCTCTGAGTACTGCATGTGTGTGTCAGTCTTTATTTCTATTCTTAAGCCTTGACTGGGGCTTCAACCCAGAACCCTGTGGCCCAAAGACAAGAATGTTAACAACTGAGTCACAGCTGAGACAGAAGTAGAGTATAAAAGTTGATTTTGCACTGAATTATATTCAGTTATTCTGACAATATCACCGAGTTCAATAAGCAAAATACTTGAAGCAAATAGAGTTAACTCCAATCGTGTGGCTTCCTTTTTTACAGAGTTGCAATTTTCTATTTAAGATGTTCTAGCTGTCACAGTAAATACATTTATTCTTTCTTGTGCTTCCACTATTAACTTTTTCTTCTACATTACATTCATCCATAAGCTCTGTATGTACAGTGAGCCCTTCAACATGGTGGCAGTCCACCTTCAGGATGAATCTCTACCTATCTATACATTTTTGGGTTGATTTTTGGTTCCCAGCCAAAACGACAGCAAAGTGAAGCTATATGCCTGTTGGTATTGGCAGCATGATGACTGTGCCTGGTCCAATTTGCCAGTCTAGTTGGCATGCCACTCCCTGACTTCCTACCACAAGGACTGGTGAAGTTGACAGGAAGTGGCTGTATGATCCTTAGAATTGTGTGACGTAGACACTTCCAGGAGTTTTCAGTGCAAGTTAAGTCTGTCGGAGGGTGGGTGTGTGATCCAGGGCTTTTGATAGACAGGACCGTTTAGTTAGTGCTTTAAAATTCTTGGGAAGTGAGTGTCACTGGCAAAGCCAAGATTTCCAATCCATTCTTGATAGATTCGTGATTACCAATTTAGTTCAAGATTATTGAGAATGTGCAGGAATGTAAAGTGGAAGTTAAAATCAAATCAGCCATGATCTTATTGAAAAGTGGAGCAGGCTTGAGGGGCCAAATGGCCTACTCTCAGTCATACGTTTGTATCCCTAATTACCCTTGAAAAGGTCCTGGTGAGTTGCCATCTTGAACCACTACATTCCATGTAGGTTAGTTATTCCAGCTGTGTTTTAAGGAATTCCAGGATTTTGACCCAGTGACAGTGAAGGAACAGCAATATATTTCCAAGTCAGGATAGTATGTGGCTTGGAGGGGAACTTGCAGATGGTGGTGTTCCATTCATCTGCAGCCCTTGTCCTTCTAGGTAGTAAAGGCCACAGGTTTTTGTTTTTTCCGTGGGACCTGGGCATTGCTGACTGGGTCAGCCTTTATTGCTCATCCCTAATTGCCCTTGAAGGTGGTGGTAAGCCACCTTTGTCAACAACTGCAGCCAATGGAGGGGTGGGCACATCTACAATGCTGTTAGGGAGGGAGTTCCAGGTATTTAGCCCATTGACAGCAGAGGTATAGCAATATAGTTCCAAGACAGGATGATGTGTGGCTTGAAGAGGAATTTGATTTAGAAGAAACATTGGTGAGTTTGCGAATGGAACATATACTGTTACCTGTGTGCATAGATAGCAGGGGGAATAAATATTGATGGCAGGGATAGGGACCCACACGAGCAAGCTGATCTCTCCAGGCTGTCTAGTTTCTTGAGTGCAATTAAAGGTGCACTCATCCAGGCAAGTGAAGCGTACTCTGTCTGATGTTTGACTTGTGTCTGGTAAATAGTAGACCAGATTTTGGGAATCAGTAGGTGAGTTACAAGCCACAGAATTCTCAGCTACTGACTTGCTTTTCTACTACAGTGTTTATATGGCTAGTCCAGGTCATTTTTTTGGTTAACAGTAACCCTCAGCATATTGATAATTCAGGAATCAGCTTTAGCAATGCTGTTGAATATCAAGGAAAGATGGTTCAGTTCTCTGTGGTTGGAGATGATCATTGCCTAATATTAATATAATTTTCCATTTACCAGCCCGAGCATAAACATTGTCTGGGTCTTCCTACATGTCGGCATGCGTTGGCCCGCTGGTTTAGCACACTTTATCTTTGGGGTTCATTTTGTCGTGCATGTGTAAAGAGACCGTTCCACATGCACATGCACCATTATTACAATATTGTAAATGTATCCATTCAGTAAATATACTTTCTGAAAAATAATGCTCCTATAATATGTGAAGTAAAATCTTTCTACTTAAAGCACTGGCAAATAATTTTCTTTGTTCTGCATTGATGCTTGACACTCCTTGTACAGCAATGCATTAAGGCCAACTGTTTTCATGACCATTTCTGAGCACTGCTCAGTGTTAAGTATAAGGCCTGATTTGAAAGAGGATTTAAAGAAGTGTAGTAATGACTGAGTGGAGTTAGATGGATCATCTCTTTATTATCCCAGCCCAAAATTTCCTTATTATGTTTACAGGTATTTTTATTCCACAGGTAGGAATGTTTTACTGTGAAATTATAATTGTGCCCTGAAATACAAAAAAGAACATTAGTTAGTAACCTGTCACAGACCTTGAGAGAGATATCGCCCATATGGTAATAATTTTGCTGAAAGATAGATAATCACCCCTCCACACCTGCAAGCTGAGCCTGATTTCAATATCCGATTATAATTTGAAATATGACTAATGAACGCGTAAGTATCCTGAGGAAAATATAATCAGGGCATTGCTTGTCATGAGTCTATTCAATTAAAAATTTGATTTAAAAAAATTATCAATAAGATGGAACACTAGGGAAGATGTGTCAATGAAGACTAAGAGGCTGGAATATAATGAAGTTTGCTTTTTCTCTTTAATCGCAGGAACATCTCGACGATCCAAGTTCTTTGGTACCTTTCCAGGAAACTATGTGAAGCGACTATAAAATTTTATACATAATTGTATACACTTTGCTTTGAGTTTAGCACAATAACTTTCTGCAGCTCTCATTAAAAGAAGTTTCAGTCTGTAGACTCTCAAAGACACCTTTGTGACAGTTGTGTGATTGACTACAGCTAACTTCAGAAGCATCATTTAACATCATCTTCAGTCAAGGAATAAGGACATTTTGAAACATGCAATCTGGAGGTTGTTCTACGTTCCTCTCAGGATGTTTCAAAAACAACTGGTTTTTATTTTTAAGGTGCACTTACTTGATAAATCCATTATACCCCTATGTAAGCAAATGTAGTGAATGCTTATTTATTCTTCCTGGTACAGAAGCTTACAGTGGTCTGTCACTAACATTTATTATTGATGATTTTGTCACAGAGTAGAGAAAACACATAACACGTTCAACAAGTATTACACCAGTAACTCATACAGCTATGATAATCGCCACTTTCCAAACTAGAGGTGAGGTCCTGTAGTCTGCTCTATTTTTCTTCCAGTTAATTCGCTCAGTTTGATTTGCTGCTGAATGATGAGATGCAGAAACAATAATGCCACATTTTGTACAGGTTGTTTGAAAATTGTTGCAGGTGTGTTTCTCACTTCCACACAGATCTTTTAATAATGATGGCTTAGAATATATAGTAAAAATAAGATTTCTTGATAGAATATTGAGTTGATCAAGCATGAGACCATTCTTTTGAGGTAAGCTATATTCAGATTCCCAAATCCAAATTGTCATATTTAATACTTTAGGTGACTCCTTGGACTCAGCAGTTACTAAAGAATGCAGATGTCCAAATGTCATATTGCAGTTTGAAACTGGATTCGGGTTGCAATTACAGCAGCATGAGGCAACTTGTTTTGTCACTGTGCGCTCCAATCCTGCTGAAGAAGTTTTTAAAAAGGGTGACAGTGCACATTTTAAAATTCACTTTTTTGATATCAGTTGTGTTATTTAACATAATTAACATTATTAACATGGAAATGACTTTGTCATGTTTACATGTACTTTTAAAGCTCCTAAAATAATTCCCTGTTCACAATTTGTTTATGTGATTGAAAAACTGAATAGCTTCCTTCTGATAAATACAATTTCCATTCTAGAAATTTAGGACATGTTTTAGAAACTACTCAATATTTGTCCGAAATGAATGGTTCTTTTTATTTAAGAATTTGAGCAATGTGTTCTGTGAAATCAAACATCAAACTAAACTGCCATGGTTGGGTATGAACACACACAATTGGAAGGGAGAAGGAATTGTTTGCGCTGCAGCACCTTAGTTCAAAACAAGCGTGTGTAATTGTCTTTTTAATTTCTTTCATAAATGCTTGAGTTTACTACAGTGTATGTTGTCCACACAATTTGTACATATATATATGTCTGCTTTATTTTGTACAGATGTTTTAGTTGTTGCATTTTTTTTCAAAAAATCACTACTTTTCAGAAACTTTTATAAGTCTCTGTCATTCCCTTACCCCTTTTTACTAATGGCCTCTCCCATTGCCCTGGTTGCAAGCACATTTAGATGGTGCGAGTGTGTACGATAGTATTTTATTGCAGAATTTTGCAAATTGTATTTCAACAAATATAGTGTTACCAGCAAAAAAAAACTAACTGTACATATATCTTTATAGTTATTAACAGGAAATGAGAATAAAGGGTCTGAATAGATTCACCAATACTCTTTTACAGTATATCTTTATTACACCAAAACTCCAGCCTAAGAGTTGTATAATCTTGAAGCTTCAAATTTTGAATCTATTGAACTGCATGCAGCGCAGCTGTGAAATCAACAACTTTACTGTTGTTTTATGATGAAAATGACCATATTTGTTGCCTGTAAAATGAGAACTCTTTATATTCTCTGTAACTGAATTTAAAAGACTTCTTTTCGTAAATTAACATCAGATGATTCATTTTGATGCCGTACAATTCTTATGGAGAAAAGAACTCACTTTTTCTGTGTTTTTTGTGAATTTCAATCCCTAATAAATTTTGCCTGAATTGAATTTCTCCCTCCTCTGTATTTGTTTTGTTTAAAATTATCTTGAACAGGATACCGAACCATGGAAAATGGGATTTCCTGAGTGTGAAAGTGTCAGGTCACAAATGTCCATGCAGGTGTTGGATTTGTATACATGTACAGAAGAAGTTAAAATGTTTCAATCTGCATAAAATAGCATGGAGTGTAGAATTCCCTCAAATAAACTATAGCACTGTCTGATATCTTAGCGTTTTCATCGGTTAAATGCCATTAGCATAGGTATTGTGAAAAGAAGAAAACGTTATAATTCATGACCTAACTTCATCCCAGAGTGTTTGCAATGAGTAATTATATAGTCATTATTTTACTGCAGGAAAATGTGACAAATTGAGCCAAGCAAGCTCCCAAAAAAAAGCACTGAGTTAAGTGACAGGATAATCCGTCTTTAGAAATCTTTATTATGGGTTACATATTCACTGGCTTACAAAAGAAACGTCCCTTGCTTCTTTTTGAAATAGTGCATACATATTCAGAACAGGCATAGACAACCATACCCTTCAAGTCTCCTGTACCGTTCAATAAGATTATAGCTAATCTGATTCCTCCACATTCCCTAATGACGTTTCATGCCTTGCTTATCAAAACTCTATCCACCTCTTCCTTAAAATTATTCAAAGATTCTGCTTCCAAAGAGAGTTCCAAAGACTCACAACCCTCAGAGAGATTAATTATTCTCATTTCTGTCCTAAACGGGTGACCACTTATTTTTAAACAGCGCCTTCTAGTTCTAGATTTTCCAACAAGAGGAAGCATCCATTCCACACCCACCCCTTCAGGTCCCCTCCAGATCTTCAATCAATTCAGCGCTTATTCTTCTAAACTTCAGTGGACAAAAGTCTAGACAAAAGTCAATGGGAATCAGGAAAATTCTCCACTATATGGAGTCAACTATGGCACATAGGAAGATGGTTGTGGTTGTTGGAGGTCAGTCATCTCAGTTCCAGGACATCTCTGCAGGAGTTCCTCAGGGTGGTGTCCTTGGCCCAACTATCTTCAGCTGCTTCATCAATGAACTTCTGTCCATCACTATGTCAGAAATGAGGATGTTTTCCGATGATTGCACAATATTCAGCACCATTTGCAACTCCTCAGATACTGTAGCGGTCTAAATACAACAAGATCTGGACAATATTTTGGTTTGGTCTGAAATTTGCAAGTAATATTCGCACCACACAAATGCCAGGTTATGACCACCACCAATAAGAGAAAATGTGTTACCCCATAGCATTCAATGGCATTACCATTACGGAATCCTCTAGTCTCAACACTCTGGTAGTTACCATTGACCAGAACTAGACTTGCCATTTAAATACTGTGGCTACAAGAGCAGGTTTGGAGAAAAGAACTTATCTCTTTCTTTTCTTTTGTGAATTTCAATCCCTAATATATTTTGCCCACATTGAGTTTCTGCCTATTCTGTATTTGTTTAGTTTAAAATGACCTTGAAAGGATATTGAAGCATTTTAAAAGTGCTTTCAGAAAGTGTTAAGGTCCTAGGGCACAAACAACCCCTCAGTTAGTAGATTTGCGTATACCTACAGGAGAATTTGAAATGTTTCAAGCAGCATAAAATAACATGGAGTGTTGAACTCCCTAAAATAAACTATAACACTGTCTGAAATCTTAGCATTTCATTAGTTGAATGCCACTGGCATGGGTATCATGAAAAGAAAAAAATATATAATTCATGACCTCACTTTGTCCCAAAGTGTATACAGCTGGGAATCAAGGAGGCTGGAAAATGAAGAATGTCTGTGATAAGGTGAAGGATAGGTGACAGTGGATAGCCAAAGGGTTTGTGGTGTGGGAGTGTTAATGTAACAAGTAAAATGTGTCAAGAGGAAGTGTGAATGGCAGATTCTTAACAGATAACTTGCATAAAGGGAACAATTAGCCAAACTCGTCCTCACACTCAACAACTTCTCTTTCAATTCCTCCCACTTCCTACAGACAAAGGGGGTAGCCATGGGTACCCGCATGGGCCCAAGCTATGCCTGCCTCTTTGTAGGTTACGTGGAACAATCCCTCTTCCGTACCTACACTGGCCCTAAACCCCACCTCTTCCTCCATTACATTGATGACTGTATCGGCGCCGCCTCGTGCTCCCACGAGGAGCTCGAACAGTTCATACACTTCACTAACACCTTCCACCCCAACCTTAAGTTTACCTGGACCATCTCTAACACCTCTCTCCCCTTCCTGGACCTCCCTGTCTCCATATCGGGCAACCACCTAGAAACCGATATTCATTTCAAGCCCACCGACTCCCACAGCTGCCGAGAATACTCCTCCTCCCACCCACCTTCCTGCAAAAATGCCATCCCCTATTCCCAATTCCTTCGCCTCCACCGCATCTGCTCCCAGGATGAGGCATTCCACTCCCGTACATCTCAGTTGTCCTCGTTTTTCAAGGACCGTAACTTCCCCTCCTCGGTGGTCGAGAACGCCCTCAACCGTGTCTCCCACATCTCCCGCACCTCATCCCTCACACCCCGTCCACGCAATAAAAACCAAAAAAGAATCCCCCTCGTCCTCACGTACCACCCCACCAACCTCC